CCTGTATACCTTCATGCATAAATGCTTTCTCTGAACTGGGCCATTAAATAACAGACAAGGTTTTAGTAAATAAGAAGTATTCCATTCCAAACATGTCTTCTTGGACCCCAATAGGTGGTAGGGCTGTGCAATTAATCACATGTGATTGTCATGCGCATCTCGTCAGTAAAGCCGGTTCTGTGATTAGTAGTTGTGACGAGAGGGGCGGATTGTCAGTGAATTACGGCTCTGTGTTGTAAATACCGCTCCATCTGAAAGCAGGTGATGGAGATTTACTACTAATCGCGGAACCAGCTTTACTGATTAATTGCACAGCCCTAATAGGTGGCCATTTGTGTTGCCTGTTCAATAACATAGTGTTATTGCTTTGTGATTGTATCTTCCCTTACGAAAATTAACCATGGTTTTACTTCAAATAAAACCAAAAAAAAAAATAAAACATGGTTATTGTAGTTAAGTCATGGTAACCACAAATTCATGGTTCAAAAGCATGGTTACTCCACTTTTACTGTAATAAAACCATGGTTAATTTTTGTAAGGGTATAAAATTTCTCTGGCATTGGTATCAACTGCTGAAATGTTGGTATTGTGACATCACTAATACACATACAGACATTTAGAAGAAATGCGTCAGTTCGGCTTTTCTTAAACGTGAAACTGAAGTGAAAGGATCATGCCGTGGTCTGTGGATATCATAACATCTCACAAACACACTTGTCATTTAGAATTCTCTCTGTTATGGAAATGCGCTTTGTTCTACATCACTTCCTCTCTGTTTCTCATAATGTTGGATTGGTCGTCACTCGTCACGTAACACACATGCATTCAGATGTAGCGGAGCGATGCAGATTTTCTTAAACGCGGAGCTGTCAGAGAATGGATTATAATACAGTTTACAGATAACGAAATATCCGCAGACAAACAAGCTCACAAACACTTTCCATTAGAAAGGAAAACACAAAGCGTGATTTAAAAAAAAAAATTTAATGCTGCTTTTCTTTAGAGTATTTATTATTTATGTGAATGTGAATGAACCCAACACAGGATCTTAAGTTCATTAATGTTTCGAAACTGTATTTTACAAAGCGTGGTTCATAGTACAAATGTTTTGTTAATGTTTGCGTGACTCGTGGTTGGGAAATATAGTAGTTATAGTAGAAATCATGTAGTTATTTTAGTGTGCAGTTGTAGCTGTCAGAGAATGGATTATAATACAGTTTACAGATAACGAAATATCCGCAGACAAACAAGCTCACAAACACTTTCCATTAGAAAGGAAAACACAAAGCGTGATTTAAAAAAAAAAAATGTAATGCTGCTTTTCTTTAGAGTATTTATTATTTATGTGAATGTGAATGAACCCAACACAGGATCTTAAGTTCATTAATGTTTCGAAACTGTATTTTACAAAGCGTGGTTCATAGTACAAATGTTTTGTTAATGTTTGCGTGACTCGTGGTTGGGAAATATAGTAGTTATAGTAGAAATCATGTAGTTATTTTAGTGTGCAGTTGTATTGACAGTGGCTTGTCATAATGGCTTTATGTATTGATAATGTTTTGTGCTTATGTGGTTAATGGCTTTTTATTGATAATGTTTTGTGTTTTTGTAGGTAATGAGTGTGTGTGTGTGTGTTGTTTTAATCTTGACTCACTGTCTGTCAGTGTATGTGGACACAAAGAGAGAGAAGAAGAGTGTGACGGAGAGAGAAACCGAGAGAAATAGACCCAGAGAAATAAAATTAGCTGATCTCTGCATTTTGAGTTCTGTGTGTGTGTGTCTTTTCCAGTTTGTGAGACTGAGTTGGTGAGTGTGCTGTAGGATATCACTAGAGATGGAAGGGGATGTGTGTGTGTGTATGTGTGTGCTGAGTCATGTGTGGGCTGACCACAGCAACTCGTTCTGTGTGTTTATATTTAGTGTATGCATGTGTGTTTTTGTGTGGGCAAAAGTTGGGCTGTGTGTGTGTGCATGGTAAGGTCAGCATTAAATTTTTGTGGACAGGAACACATCCAAACCATCCTGCAGGGCACACACAAAACAATCAGTGTCTAATGCAAAAAGTTGATGTACCATACCAACTAGGGCTGCACGACTAATCGAATGCGATTGTCATGCGCATTTTGATAGTAATGCCGGTTCTGTAATCAGCAGGAAATCATCATCACTTGCTTTCAGATGGAGCAGAAGAGGCTTTAGGGGAGACAAGATGCTGTTTGCGTACTGAACCTTGACTGCTCCAAAATGCCTGCTGGTTTTAATCTTGACTCACTGTCTGTCAGTGTATGTGGACACAAAGAGAGAGAAGAAGAGTGTGACGGAGAGAGAAACCGAGAGAAATAGACCCAGAGAAATAAAATTAGCTGATCTCTGCATTTTGAGTTCTGTGTGTGTGTGTCTTTTCCAGTTTGTGAGACTGAGTTGGTGAGTGTGCTGTAGGATATCACTAGAGATGGAAGGGGATGTGTGTGTGTGTATGTGTGTGCTGAGTCATGTGTGGGCTGACCACAGCAACTCGTTCTGTGTGTTTATATTTAGTGTATGCATGTGTGTTTTTGTGTGGGCAAAAGTTGGGCTGTGTGTGTGTGCATGGTAAGGTCAGCATTAAATTTTTGTGGACAGGAACACATCCAAACCATCCTGCAGGGCACACACAAAACAATCAGTGTCTAATGCAAAAAGTTGATGTACCATACCAACTAGGGCTGCACGACTAATCGAATGCGATTGTCATGCGCATTTTGATAGTAATGCCGGTTCTGTAATCAGCAGGAAATCATCATCACTTGCTTTCAGATGGAGCAGAATTTACTACACATAGCCGTAGTTCACTGACAAGTTACGCAAAAAAATCGCAGACGATTTTATTGCGCGATTATGAAATCGAAGAAATCGTTCGCGATAATGACAGCTGTTTGCATATTTTTACTCCAAACTCACTTCATAATGTCAGTCGAATGTTTGAATTAAATCCTTCTGTGAGATGATGTGGCTTCTTACACAGAATAAGGCACGGAACATATTTCATAGTATTTAAGCAGTGATAAAGGCATTGCATTATAAATATACTTTATTTTAATGAAAATTATAATAATAATAACTCAGATAAACCGTATATTGCCGTAGTCGTGTGTTTATTAGTCACGTTGAATCAATGAAAGTAGTTGAATCTTCTGTTTATTCAGCTGCATTTTCTGGGTTTCTTCTGCAAGGCGTATTTGGAGTTTCAGCGCGAGAGCGCCCTCTGGCCTTTGGATGGAGATTTACTGCTGATCACAGAACTGTGCTTCACTGAAAGATACGCATGACAATCGCAGCTTCTGTCGAATCGTGATCTCGATTCCATTTCGATTTATCGTGCAGCCCTAATACCAACACACACACATGAAAAATGCCTTACTTGCAAATACGAACTCAGAAACAATACTAATTGAGGACATACCTTAGACTGCTATTGGTTTTGTATAAAGCTAATTATAGCTAAACCTAATTGAAAATGTTAGCATTTTTAGAATTAAATGATTTGTTATTTATTGGATTTATGAATAATTTTTCCAATTTAGGCCCCCAAAGACTTTCAGATTCAGCTAACTTCTGGGGACAATTTTCCTCCCCAAGTATAACTAATGCCGAGTTCACACTGCACAATTTTAGCCCAATTTTTCACTTGCCGACAGGTTTTGCGAAATTGCCGACAAATGCCCGAAATCGGAGGCAAAATCGGTGCTCGTTCACGTGAGTGACAATCACGCATTGTGAATTATCAAAGACTCGATCTGAGGGAATCACCGACGCCCGCAAAATATTTGGCATGCTAAATATCTGGAGCTGTCAACGATTCACAATCACGCTGTGTGCAATGATTTCTGACTGAAAACTACATCGATGACCTACAGCCAATGAGAGACCAAGATACAGGGCAGAGGGAAATTCGGGGAGGAGTTATAGACCAGAATATCAGTATTTTACTAGATATATGAACAATTAATCGAGAACTTCGGTCTGACGCATGTGGGTTCTCGCGTTATTTCCTTATCACTTCTCGCGTGTGTTTTGTTGTGAAACGTAGTTTGTGGACCAGACAGAGCTGTCGGCGATTCTTCCTATTGGGAAGTCATGCAATGTGAAACCCCCTGTCGCCAATACATCGTGCAATGTGAACACAGCAGCAACTGAATGCTACCCCAGATAGTCACGCAGTGTGAAAACAACGGCGATCCGACGAGTTTGAAAATCATGCAGTGTGAACTCGGTATAATAAACCCACACTCACAGACTTCCTCTCCAGCAGCACTTTATCATGACCAGTATATTGATGAGTCCACAACATTTGTCCTTTCTCAAGAGCTTTTTGAAAACCATGTCATATAATGAGTGTGTGTGTGTGTGTGTGTGTGTCTGTTCGTTTTCATGGGTTGTATTTTTGATCTTTCGTTCTCTATAATTGTTTTGTTCCTGACTTGCATTCTCCTGCTGTTTTTTCCCTCTGTGTAGAGTGTGTGTGTAAGTGAATTTTCCTGAATCGCATCCTCCTGGTTTTTCTGTAGTATATAATTGTGTGTCTGTGTCAAAAACCATGTCATATAATGAGTGTGTGTGTGTGTGTGTGTGTGTCTGTTCGTTTTCATGGGTTGTATTTTTGATCTTTCGTTCTCTATAATTATTTTGTTCCTGACTTGCATTCTCCTGCTGTTTTTTCCCTCTGTGTAGAGTGTGTGTGTAAGTGAATTTTCCTGAATCGCATCCTCCTGGTTTTTCTGTAGTATATAATTGTGTGTCTGTGTCAGTTTTGAGACCTGGGTAGTGATGTCATTCGGCTTGCGGTTGCCTGGCTACCAGCCCTTTTTCGGTACACAACTTCCTCTGCTTGTGCGTAATCTTTTTGACTGATTCATAGTGACCTCTAAACTTTAGATGTGAAAGGTCAGGTTGTGTACTGTCATGTCATCTGCTTTGACTAACATCTTTCTCTGTTTTTTTCTCTCTGTCTCCAGGATGGGTTTGGTGATGGGATGGCAGTGAGCATGGCCCTTTGGGCAGGCATATGGGCCATTCTCCTACAATTGGCCCTTTTGCTGTTCTTCTCTCCACCTCCAGGCCACTGCCAAGGTGAAAGGTCCCGCCTACAGTTTACTCAACCACTGTATCATGCATCGGTCTACGAGAACTCAGCCGCCCGCACCTACGCTGCCAGCCAGGTGCGCATGGGCGTCCCTCTCCAACATCACTCATGGGAGGTGAGGTACCGCATCACCTCCGGGGATGAGGAAGGATTCTTCAAGGCTGAGGAGTACACTCTGGGTGATTTCTGCTTCCTGCGGATAAGAACCAAAGGGGGGAATGCTGCCATCTTGAACCGTGAAGTTCAGGATAACTACTTGTTGACAGTGAAAGCTTCCATTAAGGGGGATTCACTAGAGGCCTGGACTAAAGTTAGTGTGCAGGTGTTGGATATGAATGACCTTCGACCCCTTTTCTCCCCTACCACATATTCAGTTACCATTGCGGAAAGCACACCACTACGCACCAGCATAGCTCAGGTCACTGCCACAGATGCTGACATAGGATCGAATGGAGAGTTCTATTACTTTTTCAAGGAACGAATGGAGCTGTTCGCTGTGCACCCAACTAGCGGAGTTGTTTCTCTCAGTGGGAAGCTGGATGTTGATACTCAAAACCGCTATGATCTTGAGATTCAGGCTGTGGACCGGGGAATGAAGCTGTATGGGAATAATGGTGTAAGCAGTACAGCCAAACTGTTTGTTCATATAGAACGAATTAACGAGCATGTGCCCACACTGAGTATTGTTACATTAGCACCTGTATGGACTGAGAAGTCCCCCGTTGTAGCTGTGGTCACTGCAGAGGATCTTGATGAAGGGGCGAATGGAGAGATTGAGACGGTAAGCATTGTGGCTGGGGACCTTCTTGAGCTCTTCAGCATTGAAAGGACAGAGATGCCAAGTGAAAAAACGGGAGATGAGGTAGTCAGTCAGAAAGGATCTAACGAGTTTGTCCTTCGTGCAACAGAGCATTTCGACTGGGACAGCTATCCGTATGGATTAAACCTCAGCTTGCAGGCTCGGGATCGTGGAACACCTCAGAAGTTCTCTGCTGTGCACTCGGTGCACTTACGACTGTCACAACCAGCCCCAGTGGAAATCACATTTCAGAAGGACGAATACGAGGTCCTATTGAATGAAGTTGCCCCTCCTGGAACTGTTGTGGAGGCTGTGAAACTCCAACCAGAGCCAGATGATGCTGAGTACATTCTGACTCCATCTGCTGATTCAGGGTTCTTCAATATCAACACCATGACAGGCGTAATCAGCACAGCACGTTGGCTTACCCAACTTACACAGGAAGTATTTGAGCTAGAGGTCTTAGAAGTAGACAGTGACCTTAGGGTCAAGGTTAGAGTCATTCTTGAAGATGCCAATGACAATGCACCGTCATTTGTTCAGCAGTCTTATGAGGTATTTATCAATGAAAGTGTTGCTATAGGCACTGCTATTGTTGTGGTGACTGCTTCTGATGGTGACCATGGGGAAAACGGGTACATCACATACAGCATGGCTAGCTTGACACCATTACCTTTCAGCGTGCAACAGTTCTCCGGAGCAGTCATGACAACGCAGGAGCTAGACTTTGAGTCGTCTGTAGAGAGTTTTAGTTTTGTGGTTCGTGCTTCTGACTGGGGTTCCCCTTATAGGCGTGAGAGTGAAGTCAATGTCACTGTGCACCTAGAGAATGTTAACGATAACAAACCCCTATTTGAGAAAGTGGCCTGTGTTGGTGTGATCTCTCGAGAACTTCCGGTCGGTGAGGTTATCGCCACAATGTCTGCCATAGACATCGATGAGCTAGAGCTAGTCAAATATAAGATCCTCTCTGGGAATGAGCGAGGCTACTTTGACTTAAATCCCGATTCTGGTGTCATGACCTTACATCACTCCCTAAACACTGTGGCACCCAAAAACTCGTTCAGTCTAAAAATTACTGCTACAGATGGGGAACATTTTTCCGATCCTATGTTTGTGAACATATCTGTAGTGCAAGGGAAGTCACCCCCCAAGAGCTTCAGTTGTACCGAAACCAGAGTAGCCCAACGACTAGCTGAGAAACTTCTGAAGAAAGCCAAAGTTAGCAGTAAACCCAAAATAGAGGAAGGCTTTATTGACCTGTTCTCTGTGAACCGTCAAACGCCTCAATTTGATAAATCCTTCCCAACTGATATCACTGTGCGTGAGGATGTACAAGTTGGCACGAGTGTGTTTCAGGTAAAAGCCTTCGATGGAGACACTGGGTTCAATGGACAACTCTTATACGCCATTGCTGATGGCAACACAGACAGTTGTTTCACTATTGGAATTCTGAATGGCATAATAAGCATCTTCCTTCCTCTAGACCGTGAGAGGACAGATCGTTATCTTCTAAACATCACATTGCATGATTTAGGCCAACCGCAAAGATCCTCCTGGAGGCTTCTTACAGTTTACATAGCAGATGCAAATGACAATGCACCTCAGTTTCTTCAAGATGGTGGCTACCAGGCCCACATTGCTGAAAACACCCCCATTGGTACCGAAGTCATCCAAGTGGAAGCTACTGACAAAGATCAAGGTCTCAGTGGCGAGATCCAGTATTCCCTACTCACCAGCACATCACAGTTTGGCATTAACAGCTCCAGTGGGATTGTGTATGTTGCAGGTCAGCTGGATCGTGAGCTTGCTCCGTTCTTCATATTAAAAGTGGAAGCGCGAGATCGGGCAGAGCGAGTGGCTCAACAGTTTTCTGTAACAACTCTTAAAATCTCACTTGAGGATGTTAACGATTGTCCACCTGCCTTTATCCCAAATGTTGTCAGCGCCCGTGCACTAGAAGACCTCCCAGTGGGCACTGTCATTGCCTGGCTGGATACGCAAGACCCTGACCTGGGACTTGGAGGGCAGGTGCGATACTCGCTTGCTAATGACTTCGATGGCCATTTTGAGGTCGACAAGACTAGCGGCGCCATTCGTCTTACCAAGGAGCTGGATTACGAAACTCAACAATTCTTCAACCTAACAGTTCGAGCAAAAGACAAAGGCCGACCTGTGTCACTTCTGTCAGTTAGCTTTGTTGAACTGGAGGTGGTGGATGTTAATGAGAACCTGTACGCACCGTATTTTTCGAACTTCGCCATGAATGGATCAGTAAAGGAAAGCATTCGGATTGGGACTTCCGTGCTCCAGGTCTCTGCAAGGGATGATGACACGGGGAGGGATGGCGAGGTGCAGTACTCCATACGTGACGGCAGTGGTCTTGGGAGATTCACCATTGACGAAGAAACAGGTATGTGTTGATCACGTTTTTAATACTGAATAACGTTCAGTGTTTTTTTGTAAAGTGCTGCCAATTTTGTTGCATATATTGTGGCTTCCTTGTACAGTTATATGCGATTCATTCAGTGTGAGGTAAGGGGCTAACATTATAAGGTAACAAATCTTAATTTTTTTCTCACAGGGGTTTTTCTGAGTCACCTTATTGTGTTGTTTTAAGTAGCTCACGTTGCTTGCATAATCACTAAGTATTGAATAATGCTAATATGCTGTAGATAGAGCCTGTAATACAGAAAGGGGGAAAAAAACACTGAGTTGTATGCCACTCACAGTGACTTCCTGGGACACATAAATGAAGAGTGAATAGGCTTCAGTAGTTTGTCTATCACCTCAGGCCAGTTAAACACTGGATTGGCCTACATTTTTTTTAGGTCGAGTTTTGACTGTTGAGATGGAGTGATTGAAGTGCGATTGAAATTTTGATAGTGTTATGGTTAATGTTTCATGCACTGCGTTCAATTCACGTGCACTGTGTTTTGATGGGATCATTTGTTTTTGTCCAGTTTTATAAAAAAGGGGGGTACATGTGCATGTGTGTGAATCTGCGAATAATGATTTCTGCATAAAGAAATATGTGTTTGTGGCGAAATATGTGTGAGGTTGATTTATGTGTTGAGTCTCTGTCGGGTGGACTGAATTACCACACAAAGCTATTTTATTTACATTTATTGCAGTTGTCATGTCATTCTGTCTGACCCACACACTTAACCTTACATTTTTTTCTCTGCCCCTTTTCTCACTCTGTCATTTTCTCTCTCCCCTTGACAGTGCATTTTCTTTGATAGTATCTGGGTTTTTATTAGCATTGCTTCTGAAGGCTTACTATTACTCATACTTGGGGCTAGGGATTTGAACAAATTCCCTAACCGTAAGTATTTATCTTCAGTATGTCACTTGATTTTTCACCTGGAAAGCGATAAACTTCCCATAGAATCCCATAGACTTAAAAAGTAGGAAGCATTCAAGCTTTATCTAGAGACAAAACAATCAGAGATGGGGGGATCTTTTGACTTGTACCACATCCAAAATGGTCTACAACCTAGCACCAGCTTATGTCCAGCTTGGACCAGCAAGAAACCAGCTACCATGTTTCAGCCAAAGCTGGATTTGTCCATCAGGGGTTTGATAAGAGCAGTGCTGGTTAGTAACTGATTACATGTAATCTGGATTATACAATCAGATTCCAAAAATCAAGTACTTGTAATTAGATTACATTGCATTTTAAAGGTCTCATAATCCGTTTACTGTTACTTTTTTAATAGATTCTATGATTACATATTATCTACACAATGGCAGTAAATTATTCATAATGTATTGTTTCGCCTTAATTCTTTAATTTTATTTTTTTCTTAAATTTTCCTTTCTAAAAAATTCTACCACTTATGTACATTCGGAAATACATTACCTAATATGTGTAATCCAGCAAATTACGTTACTAATTGCAGTTTCTGTAATCAGCAATGGACTACAATTTGTAGGTAATTCACCCAGCACTAGATAAGAGTGTGAATGATAGCAAGTGTATTTGTATCCTTATAGTTGAATCCATGTGCAGACCAAATGAGGTTGACGAGACTTGTAACAGTATAAATCGAGAGACTGAGGGGAAAAAGGAAACCGAGATCAGATGAAAGAGTCTGGCATTCAGAGGCCAGAATGGTGTGTGTGTTTGTGTGTCTACTCACCCGCAAGCTGCCTGAAAATGATCTGGAGGTTTCAAAACGACCCTAAGATCTCCCGTGGTCTTTCACCTCTCCTTGGAATGAGGGAATCAGAAAAAAGGAGAGAAAGCCATGAATATTTGTCCATTTCTATTAAGACTGAAATGAGAGGGTTCACCGTGGCCTTTAAAGGGCATGAATAACACACACTGGTGCAGAACCTACTACTTTTTAAACCCTGCTACAACTCACTGACAGCAGCAACAAAGGAAAGTATTTCCAGCGCTGTACTTCAGTACTGTGGTAAGAGTGGTTTAAAAATGTGGTTTTGTGAGATTTGTGTCCTGGCAGCAGGTGGATCAGTGTCTGTCAGGAATCGAGTTTGAGTCTTTGAGGATATCACACCTGTCTTGTTTTTTTTCCATATCACAACTGTCTTTTCCGGTGTCATTTTAGGTTTTGATTTTGAGTTGTAAAGCTCATTTTGAGGCAAAAAAATTGTCCACAGAGTATCAAAAATGTCAAACACAAAGTGTGAAAAAAGCCCATGCTCATTACAGTCGCCGCTGAGCAGACGCTTTTCATCTGCAGGGACTTACAGTGCACTAATTGCACTGATGGTCCCTACAGAGCCTCCTGGGGTTAAGTGCTTTGCGTACCACTGAAAGAGCCCCGGCTTAAAGCCTTGTTATAGTTTGGCCTGGCTCTGCTTCGCTAGCCTCTGCAGACTGTGCTCACACCTCCCCAAATGGACGAGGCGTTTATATTTGTTGCATTTGCTGTTGTACCATTTTTTGAAACAACAGGGGGCGACAAGGAGTAATTGTCCTCTGTTCAGGTGTGTGATTAAGAAATAGTCTTGGTTATTTACAACTTATAATCACATGAAATCAAAACAGATCCTGTTCGTTTTATTAATGTAGGTTCCTGTGCATGATTCATCACTGCAAAATGTGCTGAAACGACTTTCCTCTTCAGGTAAATTATCTAGGTAGGATGAAGTGTGATTTTGCCGAAAATCTGAACATCTTACTTTAAAAGATGCGATAACAGAAAATTTTATATGGATAAAGCTGTGTTAATGTACCTGAAATGATCCAGGTTGTAATGTAAACTCTGTCTTTTAGTCTTTTTTTTGTTAAAAAGACAAAAAATGTAGCTTAGGCTACGTTTACACGACAACGATGTAGTCAAAAACGGAAACGTTTTTCTTTACATTCATATAAAAACACCCGCGCTGCATTTTCATTTTGAAACGTGCAGTGATCAGTTTATTCAACAAAGTAATAACTCAATGTATGAGAAACACTGGACACTGATATAAGTCTAATGGCCAAGTGATAACAAAAATAAATGAGTTCACACATATTACACAGCCTGCTGCGCACTGGCCACGAGCGATGACATCGTGCATGCTATTGTCGGACCTACACACACGTGGAAAGTTAAGGTGCACGTTATAATCAGCACAGAAGTTTCATCTGAATTGCATGCGTTTCTACTTTCACATGCAAATGACGTGTTGCACTTATGAATATGATAACTTTCCGGCATCAATTCTAGTAAAGGCCAACAATTTCATGGTGTTGGTGTTTTTATTGGTCTTATGAAGTATTCTAATTTGTTGAGATAGTGAATTGGTGGGTTTTTGTTAAATGTGAGCCAAAATCATCACAATTAAAAGAACCAAAGACTTAAACTACTTCAGTCTGTGTGCATTGAAATTATTTAATACACGAGTTTCACAATTTGAGTTGAATCACTGAAATAAATGAACTTTTCCATGACATTCTAATTTATTGAGATGCCGATTAATTAAAAAATGCCAAAAATCGTCCGGCCGATCAATCGGTCAACCTCTAGTATTGGGTGTTTACATGGAAACGATAACGGTGCCATTTTCAGAAACTTGCACTTTGAAACCCGTTTTCAAAAATATGTTTTCAGTCCCCAAAACGCAGTTGTCGTGTAAACAAGTAGACATAACGCATAAAAAGTTTCCCGTTTTTGGCTGAAAACGTTGTCGTGTAAATGGCCCCTTTGCCCGAAAGGACCTCACATTTCTGTTAATGAGACGCACATAGATTGAAAATAGTATCATAACCTATCCCACTTGCACAAACACGCAGCAGATCCAGAAACGCATACAGTAGCCTAATCCAGAAATACATGCGAGATGTACACAAAACAGATTTGGTCTGTTTGCTCTCTGGACAGCATCAAAGGTTTTTAGTTACAACGTGTAGCCAATCACATCTGTTGACTTCTTGAACGCATGGCCAATCAGAGGCGTTTATGTTAGTCAAAATCACTCAGTTGTTTTTTGTTATTGTTTTTTTATATCAGTGCTGAGTTATCCTTTCATTATAAAAAAAGTGTAGACAGGATGTAAATAAGCGATTTTAGCCATTTTTTTCACATTCAGATTACACTCTGAAATGTGTTGCATTATTTAAGTAGATGGGGTTCATGCATTTCATGTTGACTTAAAAGGTCCTGTAAGTTCACTTACAGAATTATCAAATTCATTCATTATAAAACTTCCTCCAGACTTTATTAGACACAGCTTTTTTCCAGAACTGCACCCTGTAAATGTGCACATCATCTCAATTTTGTCAAATTTGGTCTACATTTGTCAAAGCTCTCCTGCTTTCCGCATGGTCTGCCATGTGAGAACTAGTGCCTCAGAGTCTTCCTATTGGCCATCCAAAGAATCTGGCCATGGCTCACAATCATATATTTAATGGTTTTTTTGTCACTTTACAGAGCTCAGGGCTCTCACAGAAGACAGGTGTGATATTTCAGGACACGTAATTCAGTCATATCTGTCAGGATTTTTTTTTTCTCAGTGCCATTCCATGAAAAAAATAATGCTTACAGCAGCTAAGGTCTCCGGACTGTGGCATCCTGTTAATTTCAGCAAGTTCTGTCATTTCAGATCGCACCCTTATTTTGTACACAATAAAAAAAAATGCTGCAGTAATGCACGATGGAGATTAATTAGTCACACAGTGCTAATGAATCTTTTCTTTTATTGATTAAGCAAGCAATGCTCTGTAGCTGAATCTACAATTTTAGATGTAGATCAAGTAAGTGGCTGTGTTACAAAATCTTATGAGCTAAATACCTAGACAGCAATTTTGGGCATTGTACTGTAGATGCATTTAATGTTCAAATCATGCGTTCCAAGGCACTTATGATACTCAAAATCAGAGCGATGAATTATTATGTTGTGTGTTTTTGTATTTTTTCATGTATTTTATATTTATGAATGTATGTGTATAGTTCTTAT